AAATAGAATCACTATTATTATTCTGACCTCATAAATGGACTTTAAAATCATATTTAGTCCTAAAGAAAAGTTTAGAGCCTTTTGTACGCTGGCTAGTGTCTTTGCAATAGGGAAAATGGTAGTTTAAAGAAATAGGTTAAGAATTAATACAACGAGGTTATTTATTCAATGTTTACTGTGTGATGATTGCTGTGGTGAAAGTGTAGAATGTGTAGAAAATAGCCAATTCATCCTGAAAGGGTCTGGAAAAGCTTCTGAGAGGAAGTGCTATTGACCTGGTTTTTGAAGGATCAATAAAAGAGAAGAGGGAAGAATTCCTGGCATAATGGATGGTGTAGGCAAAGGAAAGGAAGGATTAAAGAGTTGGAAAAGATTATACTCACTCATATGAGATGGCATATGTATTTTTTAGCTTCAAGTCTGGGTAATGGGCTAAGAAGATTCCTTAAGGTTCTTTATTCTAGAATTCTATCACGATGTGTTGAGAATTTTGACATGGCAATAAGGTGTTTGCTATGTATAATTCCATATGCAAGTAGCTAAGCATGATCAGAAGAATTTCAAAAATCTGCAAAAAATCCAGTCTCAAAGAAGATTCACTACATGGGCAAGAAGATACATGATACTTATGTTAATTTTTGCAACAACTGGAAAGTGAAAGTATCAAAAGATTCCTCTGAGTATCCACTGTTAGTATTCATTATGTGATACTAAAATTCCAGTTTACTCTTTCAGTTCATTGCTAATAAGTTAATTTGTAAAAAGAAGGAATACCATTTAAAATAATATGGGGAGGGGTGGATGGGAAAGGGGTAATTCCTGGAGATGGTTTTGTTTACTTTGAACATTTTTTTGATTCATAGAAGAAATTCATTTGATTGTAGATTCTTTAGAAAAGTACTTAAAATCAATTTTGTATATATATTTTTAATAGCTTTGAGATATAATTTATGTACTTAAATACTTAAAATTATTTCAACAAAAATTTAAAACATCTATAATCTTATCAGATACCACAATGTTTTGGTGTACATCCTTCTAATCTTTGTTTCCCAGATTTTTCTAGGATGTAAGCACCTGACTTGAAGCAGCTTAAAAAGACAATACTAATTATAACCATTTCATTGATTTTAAAATAGTGTGTTGAAATATACTTAAAACAAGTATTATGTACAAAATACCCTAAATTTATATAAGTAATTACCTTGGGGATGACAGGAAGGGGCCAGGGTTGCTGACAGAGTTGTAGGGGCAAAAGAATATTTTACCTTTAATGTTATAATTTCTAAAAAAGAATAGATTTAGTGTATTACTTAAATAATTAAACATTAATAAAATTGAAACAAAATCCAAGCTTAAAAAAAGAGTTGCCACATTCGTAAAATAAATTTTGAAGGGGATAGTTATGATAAATGGAAGAGAACTAACATTTAGTCTTTTTTTTTGTTTTTTTTTTTTTAGTAGAGATGGGGGGGTCTCACTCTTGCTCAGGCTGGTCTCAAACTCCTGAGCTCAAGCAATCCTCCCGCCTCAGCCTCCCAGAGTGCTAGGATTACAGGTGTGAACCACCACACCTGGCCAACATTTAGTCTTGGCAGGAAAAACAATTTCAGGAGCCTTGCCCTGCCACTCTTTCACTTCTTCTATAATAATTTCCTAATTCATTAGTTTCAAAGCATTAATATTGTTTCACATGATTGAGAAATGTTGAAATCATCCCCAGAAATTCAGGTAGCCAAACTGTTTTTTTATTTTTTATATCCTTCCAGGAATTTGTTGCTGATTATCAACTTGCAGTGACTCTTAAAAGAAACACTGATTAGAGTCAAACAACTTAATTCGACAAACATACATTAAACACATGCATTTTTAAAATATTCAAGACTGCTTGGAGTTATAGCACAGATACTCTATAAGGAGATTAAATAAGCTGCATAATTGTGTTTTCATTTTTAAAGCACACACAATTCACCTGGGATTTGGTGGTTTAGTATAGTTCATTCTCATTGTGATGGCACTAGGAACGTTACATAAAACATCAGGAAGATCAGATGATTGGGCCCTACTATACCCACTGTGCATAACAGGTAGCTGCTATTTATACTGCAGGCATGTGGCAAAGTTTAAAACATCTCTTTTCACATGATTTCTCTCTACCCTAGGCCTTTATCTAATTATAGTGGGGTTGGCATTTATGCAGCCAGCATCCTACACATATAGCTGCTAGAAACAAGAAAGAGATATATGAGGCATAGATAACTCAAGTAATGAGAAAAGCTAAGAATAGAATGACCTGCTATGCCAATTTTTTGCTTTCCTGGTGGCTCCATTTGATGTGTCTTCAACATGCTACTCCTTGAAGTCTCCTTTGGAAGCTGCCCTGAGCCACATACACTTTGCTTTCCTCTACTGTGCAACAGTATGATAAGAAATAGTATACCCTTATGCTACCTAAGTAAGCAGTACATATTGTTCTATTATACTGTCACATGGAGCTCTTTCCATGGAAAGTGTTTCTAATACAAATGGCCCACTCTGCAAAGGGGAAGAATGCGCTTAATTATTGGTTAAATATCCAATTACAAAAGATGTTATAGTGAAATATGTCTAAGATTAAAGAAAAAAAAAAGGACACAGCCACAATTCCTTATCTGTAATTTTCATATCCAAATGCTATAAAAACAGAAAGTTTCTTCACAAGTTTGGTGACAAAACCTGACCTGATCTCATCTGAGGCTCTTTATGGTCTTTACTTATCACACTTAGTAGAGCTATTCATAATGCACCACAAAAACAGGTGTATATTTGATAATGGGGTGCTACCCTGGACTTTTTTAGTAGTTTTGAATGAAATATTTTATATAGACTCTGTTAATTTTCCAAAATCTGAAAAATCTTGATTCCAAAACACAACTAGCCCTAAGATTTCAAATAAAAGATTATAAGGTAGTATTTCCCCAAACTTTTTTTTTTTTTTTTGAGACAGAGTCTCACTGTGTTGCCCGGGCTAGAGTGCCGTGGCGTCAGCCTAGCTCACAGCAACCTCAAACTCCTGGGCTCAAGCAATCTTACTGCCTCAGCCTCCCGAGTAGCTGGGACTACAGGCATGCGCCACCATGCCCGGCTAAATTTTTCAAATGTTTTTAGTTGTCCAGCTAATTTCTTTCTATTTTTAGTAGAGACGGGGTCTCACTCTTGCTCAGGCTGGTCTCAAACTCCTGAGCTCAAGCAATCCTCCCGCCTC